ATTATAATAACAATAAATTATTACATTGTTGAAAAATAATTTTAAACAAAACCAAAGCTTTTTAATCAATTCTATAAATTATAATGAGGGACTTACTCCAAATGTTATAGAAAGTACCTACCTACAACTGTAATACTTTTAGTATATCTACACACTTTTTTAATTTCATACACTCCCAATTTAAACCCTCGACAAATTTTTAATTCAGTTATAGTTCGATTACGCGGACCAGGTATAGGGATAATAACTTTTTTATTTTAAAAATAATGATTGGTTTTCAAGGAAGATTAACCGAACCTCCATTATTTTTCCSTCGTCCATAACTCTTACCTTCAGCTTTTACATTGAAAATTGTAATCATCATGAATTGACTTCTCGAAACAAATATTAGACCTCACTGTTATACCATACTGCAGCAAGTACTTAAAAAAAAATGTATATATATATATATATATATATATATACCTATAACAATTATAAGAGTTTTATATTTTGTGAATAAAGGTCAGCACCAAACGCTTATCAGAATTCACAAACGAAAACTAACCTGCTGCAACTGCAGAGTGTTCAATTACACACAAAAACGGTGTATTTAGAGTTTTGACTTCCTAAGTAAAGCTACTCGTATGTTGTTCGCCCTTTTTACCCACCCTTGAAAAAATGAACTACTAAAAATTGTTTAGATGTACAAAAAGTGCGTAAGCTTGCAAACACTTAATTTCCGATACGAATATTATAATACTTATACCAAATCTTTAGGTTTTAATATTTGTCAAAAATAGTCGTCTGGTTTAGGAACTTAATAAAACTTAATAAACAAGTATATTTTAAAATTTTCTTTTCACACTTATTTCGTAGAAACTACAGCACTTATTATTTTGGTAGTAATTTTCAATTGGTATTAATTTTTAATATAAACAAATGTCAGATTTTACCTATCATCAAAGTCCAAAACAATAAATAATTAATGATAATCTACGTCAATAATAAACCATATACGTAAGCCCAGCAAAGTAAACAAATGATGTATGAATCACATTATTTAAACAATTAACTTATTTAGTTTTTTTAAAATTTTTTTTATATGGTTTTAACATAAAATAAATAAACATTAAATAGTAATGTTAGGTTAGCTTGAGCTCAAAAATTTAAATTGATTATTAAAATTTTCAATACTCCCACTCCAGTAGCAATCTGCTGCTGTGTGAAGCATATCACAAACTATATAAAATAATAAATAATTTTGTGTACATATATTTATTTATATTGTATAATATATAAATAATATTTTATCAAGCATTAAAATATATTTTATAAATTAAATAATCTTGATTTGTACATACGATTGTGCACAATATGATAAAAATATGATTATATATTTTGATTGACGAATGACGATGGTGGATGGTTGTAGGTTGTGGATTGTAATGATGTCATCCCTAAATCCC